TCCTTCTTCTTGTCCTTAGCACCCGTCTCTAGGATGCCCCTCGCTTCTTTCAACTCTCTCTCAATGGTTGTGACTGTCTTGACCATTGAGTCCAAATCTTGTAGGCGGTTGCCCACAATCTTTCCCCAGATGGACAACTTCAAATCGTCCTTGAACCTCCCCACTTTGGCCAATTTGGTGGCCACATAATTATTGACAAAATAGTCTAACTCAATCAACTTAACCACGTATTTCATCACTGTCATAGTCCCTTTCTTCAAATTTAAAAATTCATGGGCTTTCACTTGCAGAGCAGCAGACGGTAAGTACTTGCCCATGAAGAGCTCACGAAACTCTCCTCAGGTCATTGCATCTAGGTTCTTCGAGGCCTTTGTCCAATCCCACCATAGATGGGCCTCTCCCTTCAGTTGGAATGTAGCTAGCCTTATCTTAGTGGTATCGGATGTAATCTATATAGCCTCTAAGATCTTATCCACTTGTTGGAACCAATGGTCAACCACCATCAGATCCGCCCCTCCCATGAAAGTAGGTGGCTTGTGTGCCTTAAAATTTTGGAGATTTCTCAAGCCCCTAGGCCCACATTGGTGCTAGCTTGTGTAAAGATAGCCGTCATTGTGTCTATAGCCTCTATGAAGGCTTGTTTGTCAAAGGTCGGTGGTGGTTGGTTGTTGTTCCGCCCACCTGCTCAACCATTTCGATGTCTTCTTCCTCTATTTGTTATCTACACACATGTCAAATAGTAATAGAGTACTAACTTAGTATCCCAAGGTAGGGATCAAAGTCAAAACATTGAGATTCCTCTCCTTGTCTCACTAGTAGAGCGTGTGCCACCCACTAATAGACATCTATACCATGAACCATCCCGTTCTTTCTCTTTCCGACCCCCCAAGGTTATGTTCTTTAACCCTAGTGTCTCCTTTCCATATACATTTAATATGCATATTATTGACATAACTCAATACATAACATGTAGCATTTAGAGGACATAACATGTAATGTACAATGGATGCAATGGTCTAAACCCATGCCACGCAAGCCCTAAGTAAATCAAAAACCTAGGTTATGATGCCAAGCTGTGGCGCCCCTAAAACCATGGGTCCTTTGTTAATCTGTTGATCACCTATCAACCCACAAAAATACTCATGAATGCCGCAGAACACGACACCACATCATAACATCCCCTTCATCGGGATTGTAACCAACATAGTGTTTGGGTAGAGTCTCCCATGTACTGGGCACTCCCAAATGCATAACTTGTATACATTTGAATCACTTGACCATTTCAAGGTCTAATATACGTCAATTTGTCCTTAATATTACTCTATTTATATCCTTTGAACAAAAGGGCTCAACGCCTAATGGTTTGACAAAGTTATTTTAAATTTTTGATAATTTTAGGGGAGCTACTGGTAGTTGAGCGCTCTGCCAGTGAGCTACTGGTAGTTGTGAACCAAGCTACCGCTAGCTGAGCCCATTACCTGCGAGCTACCAATAGCTCGCAAAATGAGCTACCAGTGCAATTGTGCTACCGATAACTAATCAACATGCTACCGATAGCAGGACCTAGTTTTCCCCCCAATTCAATCCTTTTTCAATTTCACCTCACCCAATCTCATACAACATTTACCCAAACTCACATAGCATCAAATTTTACACAAAATATAGTCCATGTGAGTTCATGATACAATCCTTTATACAGCATCACAAGTCCAAAACCAATTACATGATTGTTTTACGAAAATATAATTTAAAGCCACAACTTAGCTTTCTTCATCAACAAGTGCCCAAGTGAAAGTCATCCATCAACGATTGTCCCGCATCTGAAATATTGTTCCCATAAAGGGTGAGTCACTCTCAATAGGGTATCTCCTAAAGAGGCTACCTCCCAACCCAGATGCATATGAAATATTCGCATACAATTCAAAAATCAAACAAGCATTCATCCAAGAACATACAACTTCAAAAAATGAATGTCACAATGTCATGTCATGTTTTGAGATAAGACTCACACATGCAATACAACACGAGCCCTCCACCGGATCCCATAACACATACCATGTCATGCGTATGTATTCGGACATTCCAAGCCCTGCCATTGATGTTACACATCTAATGACCATTTATAACTTTTAGGTTTTTCTTGGGGTGGGTATTTAAGGACTTCCACCAACGGGCACCTAACCGACATGACATTTATGCACTTCCACCAATGACTCCGCATATGCCGACACACTTTATGAACTCAATAACAACGGAGTACATATCCAAATTACAGGGCACTCGAGAGATAATCTAATCCTTATTGCTAACCCTGACCCTATTTTCAATGCAACCCATGCAACAAAGTCGAGCCTTGGCCCAATTTTTTCGAGTCCACGTATCAACCCACCAAGGATGGTAATGATCAAAATCATGCACACACACCCACACTCATGTCAAATGCCCACAAATGTGATACTTTCCATGCATATGCAAATGTAATGAACCATTGCATTCATATCATTATGCAACTAATTTTTCAATTGCAATTACAATATCATGTTCAACATGTTATGAACATACCATCAACATTTCCAAATCCTCAATATAACTTGTATCATAAAGCATAAAATTATATTTCAACATCATCACAAAGCATGTTATATCAATTTCATTCAAATAACATACTAAATCGTCATAGAAATTTTATCAAACACCTAAAAGACACAAAATCATACATACACATAATCATGCCCAATTTATCATATTCTCATGAAATCACCAAACAAACAATTTCGACAATACCCAATTTATGCAAAATTAGTTTTATACATTCTTATACCATTTCCTATACTCTAGTTACACTATGAGTATATTTAAACAAGAGATTTCATCTCTAATTGTATTACCTATTTTATACGCAAACCCTAGGTTGAAAATAAACCTAAATAGGAGAAGAACCCTATCTCTTGAAGCGTAATAGGAGTGGTAGACACTTCCAAGAACCCAAATCAAGCTTCAAACCTTGATTTTCAAAAATCTCATCTTTGAGACTTCAACCAAATCTGCGATTCATGGTATGTAGGTGTAGTTCTTGCTGCATAGAATAACTTTTATTCTTGGCTCGAGGCAATTCAATGAAAGGTTTGCTCTAGATTATAGAGAGAAGCTTGAAGAAAACTCCTCTTTCTCTCTATTCTCTTCCCTTCTCTTTTCCAAAAAATTCAACAGCCAAAATGGGGGAAAAATCTAATTTTCCTCCTATTTATACCCCTAGGATACTTGGCCCACAACGCACCATACGTCTTGTCTTTTCCTCATCTGGTTTTATCCCAAATTAATTAAATTTTGTTTTGTGTTATGTTCGAAATATTTTATTTGAACTAAATTTAAATTATTTTTCATATTTCTCAATTAAAACCCGATTGTATTTATTTTAGCCACGCGACATCTGATCACACCGTAAAACGTAAAAAATTTGACTGTATCAGGTGAGGTTTGTTTTTTCATCCGAATTCTAGAAAATTATGGGTTTTCAACACGTATTGTAGCGTCTCATTACTGTTTTGTCATTTTTCATAAAAATTCAAATTTTTCTAGGTTTTATTGGTGGTGGGTGACAATGATGGTGGTTGGTAGCACTGGTGGTGGGGTGACGACACTGGTGGTTGCGGTGGTGGTTTGTGGTGATGGGCAGTGGCAATATTCGTGGTGGGTGATTATGGATGCTTGTGGGCAACGGTGGTGGCGAGTGGCAGGGGGTGGTGGGTGATGACGGGTAGTAGTGGTAGGTTTGGTGGGGGTGAGTGATAGTGGGTGACAGCGATGGGTTGTGGTGGGCTATGGTAGTGGATGTTGGTGGGCAACGATGGTGGCAGTGAGATGAAAATGGTAGTGGTAATAAATATAAGAGTAAGATAATAATGGTGATAGGAGGTGGTCATGGGCAATAATGATAACAATTGGTGGTGGGTGAGGATAGTGGTGGTGGCGGTGGGTAGTGGTGACAACGATTGTAGTGGCAGGGGCAATAGTGGTGGTGGTGGCACGGTGGGAGTGGTGGCGGTGGGGGGGGGGCGGTGGTGAGGTGGCATCAATGGTAATGGTGGTGAAGTGTTTTGTAGAGAAGTAAATATAAAAAAGTAGAAGTTAATTTTTTTTTTACTTTTACTTATTTATCTGAGTGGTAAAATTAGTTTTGACTTATTTGAAAGTAATTAAAATAAATTATTTCAAACACTATTAAAAAAGTACTTATAAGATGTCATAAGTCATGGAAGTACTTTTTAAAGGTCATCCCAAACACACATTTATATTAGTCGTCAGATTAACTTTAAGATAAAATTTAAAACATTCTCAACCTCGAAAATAAAAAATAATTCTCTATATCTTCAATCTTTGCACTTTATCATATAGATAAAGTGTTGTTGGTTCAAATCTACATAACATAGAGTGAAAAAGGGGAACACGAAAGTGAAAATTGTCAAAAATATCAAAAATATTTGAGAACGGGAGTGTCACTTAGAGTGTCAAAAAAAAAAAAATTATTATTTATTAGTGGTGAAGAAATAAAGAGAGAATTCAAGAAATAAGGAAATGATTTCTCCCACATCTGTAGCTTTAACAATGTGTTGAATGGCAACAACCTATAATTTAGACGAATACCACATTGGTAGCTGAGGTGAATGTTCAATGGATAGCCACTATAAGTAGAAAATGTGCTCCACTATTTGGTTATTGGGCCTCAACATTGGAGCCAAGTATATTGGAATAGTTTAAAATTTTAGTTGGACTTAAGTCTAACTCGTATAAATTTGTGAAATTATGGAATTGACCCCAAAAATTCCTAGTATGCGAATTGCAGATATGAAATTTGCGAATTCAATTTTTTTAATTTGTAATTTTGGGTTGAATCTGCTCTAAAATCTGAATCCAAATCTACAAGCGTCAATTGGTTGAGATGTTTTGACAAATCATGTGATCTAGGTTCAAACCACTGAAAAATAAAATATAATATATTATTTCGTAAATTAGCACTCAAGGTAGGAAGGGAAAAGGTTCAAGAAAAAACAATCTTATGCAGCAAATGACAAAAACACTACCATATCCAGTGAAAGCTACGATAGCATTACAACCATCACATTTCCCAGATTTCCTACAGTTCTATTCCATCCTCCAAATTATGAAACAATCAGGCAGGCAGATACATGCATACAGATCAAAGATTGGCAAGCTGCTCTATATTGATCGGATAAACGACATCTTGGTTTCCACTGAAAGCCTTCCTCCCCATTAAAACGTTCACTGCTTCTGTTGGGTGGAACGCATCCCAGAAAACATACTGATCTCTGTTTGCACATGGCGTTTGGAACGGAAGGCACGTGATCTGCCCACTGTTTCGCCCAATGCCACAGCACCCACGGTTTATCACGCTAAATCCTGCAAAATGTTGACAACAAACGAAAAATCACTTTTTTTTGCCTTGATTTTTGTATGGAATTTATAAAGCACAACTTCAAAATATTGTTTTTGGTACATAGTTTCGGTTAGTTCGTAGACAAAAACTTTTGGAAAAGTGAATGAAAATAAAGAAACAAATTTAATACTAAAACTTCATGAATCATTACTTGAAATATTCTGAAACATCTAGAGACATTTGTAATATTCTGGAAACAAAGATGAAACTTAAGTTTGAATCTAAGAATACTCGTTTCAAGTACACTAATATTGCTTATAATTACTGACTCATGTTCATTGCTCACAGCAAAAACTATTCTTAAAATGGATCAACATGAGATGAGACTTTACTGAGAAGGAACCTACGTATATTTAACAGAAAATAAAATAAAACAATAAAAATAATTAAGGGATAATCGCACTATGACCCCCTAAACCATGACCATAATCTCACTTTTGTCTGCTCCACTATTGAGTTTTTCATATTATCCTCTCAACTATTTGAATGCCCGAAAGCTAACAAGTCCTACACATTTTGTATGACAAATGTCCATTTGAATAGTAAAATGTATTGTCAATGTCTATAATTGCGATAATATGAAAACCAATAATTATAATTAGAGATGCAATGTAAAAAAATGAGATAGGTAAGGGAGCGATGTGAAACTAGTACATATAGTTGGATAAGAAATGTCAGAGAAAAACGTGATAGTTGAGGGACAAACCATGTCTATTTGAAAAGATGCAGTTGCAGTTAATAATCAAAACCAGGAGAAAAACATACCATAAGATCTGTAGTTGGTGAGGATGTCTTGGAACATATTGTGAATGTCAATAAAAACAAATTTCGAGCCAGGCAGATTGTTGCTGAGACTGTTGATCATTGTCTTCATGTTGGCATTGAATGGCAGAACCAGTTGGTTCACTTCTTCTGAGCAACGACCAGTTGTACTTTGGGCTAGTATGCTTGGAATACAGCCCATTAATCCAATACCCGCTATTACAAATTTTCTGGCTCCAAGATTGAAAAGTCTCTGTAAAATCCACTCAGATTGAGAGATGCTGATAGTTAGCACTTTGACTGACTCTCTCTTTCTTTTTCCTTAGGAATTTTTTTTTTTAAAAATAAAATCCATTTTACTAGTTCAGTAAAAAGAAGTTTTTCACAGGAAGTTGTTTATTATGGTTCTAAACCTCATGTGCCATTAAAAGTTGTACAACTAGGGTGGGTTGGGCAAGTTAGAAAGACAATCTGGACTCAACTCAATTTATTATAAAACCGTCAATCTGTGCTCAACCCAAAACCAAATCCTTCAACCCAATTCACTTATGAGAATCAGGCAGTCGTAATTTGGCCACATCATTCATATTGAAATTAGCGGGATTTATCCCCGAAATTCACATCAATGATACAACTGAATTCTAGCCACAAGAGCTCATCATACAACTGATTTGGACCAAAATTTATTCTCTAAATTTTGGATAAATCTTGATTAATTTTATAGATTGAGTTCAAAATGGATGTTAGAAATTTGGATTAAAAGTCTCTTTGGGGTTTGAAGTTTGAATTAGTGAACTATGGTTGTAAACTTTGCATTATAATATTAGCGAACTATGTTAATGACTTGAATAAGTGGTGAAGTATGAATGAAATGCTATATTTTTATGAGTATATGATTTTTTTTCAAAGGTATATATATTTTTTTATTATTTATTTAAAATTGCATCGTATCTTATGATACACGATACGATACACTATTTTTAAAAAACGATACGTCTTTCAATACATGATTTGATAATTATGTTTTGTACCATAGATCGATGTAAATAGACTTTGAGGACTAGGAGTGGGGGGAAAATCTTACAGTCAATTGGCCGTTGTACTGTTGAATCAAGAGATCAGCATATTGTTGACCATTATACTCATTCCTTGTTGGGTAATTGGGCATGAGGTAATTGTTTAGGTAGTCATTGCTTCCCATCCCCACAAAGAATATGCACCGTGCCAGCGCCTGTGCCACATCTACTGCACCCAGATTGTCTGTCATCTGATCAAGAGTATTCTCAAAGTTCCGTATCTGTTGGTTGAATGGTATGCGACCCACCTGATCTTGAAAGAAGATACAATTAGCCATGGTGTCGTATTGGAATTTATAGTTATAGCTAGTTACAACTCTTTTAAAATCAAATTACAGCTAAAAAATTTGGTTTATAATTCAGAAAAAAGTTGAGATCCATCGTAAAATGTTAAGATCACTCCCAAGTACACTCATTTTATCGTAAAATCACGAATTGAATAGTAACTCAACCTTATTTTGTAGTAATTGCACACATCACATTGAATCACTAATTTAATTATTATGCCTTGTGGGCATATGTCTAGGTCTGTTTCTGAATCAGATTAATTTTCTACTGCTGCTGATAACCCCCCAATTTTCAAACACTTAAAACTTTATGGGGGACCAACTAAATATTTCGTAAACTTGGGGGTAAAAATTTAAATTTGGGAGATCTACATGACCCGCCCATGCTAGTTAGTTTGTTACATCGATTATCTTTTTTCTGAGTATATTTTGAAACTCCGTCGACCATACCTTCAGCTATGTTGTGTATCAAAATTTTTAATGAATGAAACCATTTTTTTGTGGATAGAGAAAACGATAGGTGTGCAGAAAATAATGGTTAACTAATGAAGTAGTAGGTGTATATAGTAGGGTGATATGTACTTACAAAGTTTCTGCCAGTCATGTCAAGTATCCCTGCTGCGGCTGAGGCATAATTGACACCGTGAAGCATTTGATCTCCGGAGGCATCAGAGTATGCCGGAAGCAGAGGTAGTCCCAACAGTTCAGCTGCATGCACAAAAGAGCCCACTATCCCTCGTCATTGATATTATAAGCAAATAAAAAATAAAAAATAAAAAATGCGTTGAAATTCAAAAAGTGAGATAAGTGATTCTTAGTATATCATTGATGTATACTTTCAAATGTGTTCGGGGATACTGATATNCATGCACAAAAGAGCCCACTATCCCTCGTCATTGATATTATAAGCAAATAAAAAATAAAAAATAAAAAATGCGTTGAAATTCAAAAAGTGAGATAAGTGATTCTTAGTATATCATTGATGTATACTTTCAAATGTGTTCGGGGATAGTGATATACATGTGATTAAGATTAGAGAACCAACAAAAGAAAAAATGTATGTATCACTTAAGAAAAGTATTCAATATCAAAAAAAAAAAAAAATGTTACAAAAATATCAATAGTTGTCTATTTATAGGAAAATGCTATGCACATCAAAATTTTTACTAAAAAGTGATTTTAACTAGAGTAATACTATTTGGATCTAAAAATCTGACATAATTTGCAGACATAACAATGTGGCTTCAACAGAACCATTAAATCAATACTAAGTTCCAATGTTTGATAGAGCCAACAGTCAATCTAAAGGTCATAGNAAAAAGTGATTTTAACTAGAGTAATACTATTTGGATCTAAAAATCTGACATAATTTGTAGACATAACAATGTGGCTTCAACAGAACCATTAAATCAATACTAAGTTCCAATGTTTGATAGAGCCAACAGTCAATCCAAAGGTCATAATAAATTAGGTCAATAAATTAGATCTCAATAACATTCCTCTTTTAACAAATTAGTTGACAACTTCGTATCCAATTTAAAATATTTTGATCAATATTTGGTGGGTCCAAGAGTGAATTAGAATTGACAACTCATTTCGTAAAAACATTTTTTTGATAAAAGTTATGGTTTTAAAAACAAAAATTAAGAAGAGAAAAATAACTAAAAAAATATTATTGTCTGGATAAATAACATATCTAGACAGAAGACACCAAAAACGGGCTTCACTAGTCTAACTTCACTCTTATGCAGCTGACGAGCTGTGACTATAAATTCTGCTATGTAAGTGAAGTCCACACTCTACACTCATCATTCACCCCAAAAAAGCCATCTATAATGAAGCCGAAGAGATGAAGAACACTGGAACAAGTTATTCCACAATCACATAGACGCACATTCAGAGAGAGAGAGAGAGAGCATTACGAAGCAGAAAAGAAAAAATGAAAATGAAAAAACGACGACTAACTTCCAACCTATATATATATATATGCACACAGATATATGTATACATAGTATACATACATAGAAAGAGAGAGCGAGAGAGAGCTAGAGAGAGAGTTTTCACCGATTTCATCGACCATGGTGTAACCGTTGGAGAAGCGGCCAGTAGGACCACCATTGAAATCGATACCATAAGGATAGTAGTTGGCCTTGGCAAAAGAAGGAAGGTTATTGTTGTTGCCATTGTCAATGAGAGAGTCTCCGAATATGAACATAGCAGGAACCAACTCTCTTCTCCTTTCACTAACCTCCGGTGCAAATGCACCTTCTTGACCTTGAACCATAACCGCACTTCTCCACACCATGAACAACACACAAAAGCATGAAAACCTCAACACACCCATGTCTCTGTGTGTTTGTATGTGAGTCAGAGAGAGAGAGAGAGTTGTAGTGTGTAACAAAAGAGAGCAGAGAGGAGGTGAAGGTGGTGGCAGATATAATAGAGGTTGCAAGGTGGTGGTTAGAAAGTAATAAATGAATTCACCTGTAAGTTTCCATTGCAGTAAATACGTAATAATTGCTGCCTGCGAGGATTGTTTCAGAAAGAATCACGTCTTACTTGATGCTTCACTGTTTCTTGGTCTGTCTGAATTACTTCTTTTTCTCTCCTTTTAAATTGTTAATAACGGAATCTATATTTTTTTCGGGGGTAATTATCATCCAAACCGTCTCTAAATATATATATCTTCAATAAGATATTTTTCATTATTTAAAATATCACTAACACTCCTTTTAATTTATATTTAAATATCAATAACACTCTTTTTAATTTATATTTAAACATCATTGAATATTCACTTAATTTCATATATAAAATTCAAATAGAATCGCAATCCACGTAAATGATTTGAATTCGGAAACAAATTATTACTAAACAAGTACCAACCCATGTCCCAATAATATGACTGTGATTCCCATTGGATTTGGATAGAAAGCCGGTTAATAAATAACCTACTCTAGTACCGTCTATGTTTGATGATTTGGTGCACCCTTTTTCTTATTTTTCGTAGGAAGTATTTTTAAGATCTAAAACCGAAATGATATGTAAACTTGCTTTATTACGTTGTTGCTAACGCAAAATTGATCCAGTTGATTGGTTAGATGATGGTTTTACATCCAAACCTAAGTCATGGTATTAGCTGTGCTTTCCCCTTTCTGAACAGCAGTTCAAATGCATTTAGGTCCAGTATCTCTACCATCAACTAACAAAACTTTTTTTTATCTTTTCCTACTATGTTATTGCACGGAATAATTCCTGCAATAGTATGAGACAACGATCTCCAAGCTGGCGGATCTGAAATAACAAGTTCAGAAAAAATAGGGTCAAGCAAGCGTCTGGCTAATCCCCTCCGAAGCTTAAGTCAGTATAAGATCGAAGGGTTTTGCTCAATGGACTATTTTTCTTATTCAAGTTTGCATACCTTTGTCCATTTTTCTGAGGAGTATTTATACCTGAATTAACAATGATTACCAAATAACTCCAATCCCATCTGGACATCTTACATCTGACATATCATTTCTCGTGCAATGAGTGTTTTCTACTCACGTCTCCTCCTATTGAATGCTAGGAAAATGGGGTAAATGCTCGGCCAAATGCCCAGCATTTATGCCACTCCCCGAGTACCCAAATCCCCCAGGTCGGCATCCGACATCAACTGAGCATTGAATACTCGGGGGAAACAGTTCCTCGGGAAAGCCGATCGCGTCGTCTCGGCGCATCAGCCATTAATGCGTAGCCATCATGACAGTAGGCTTAGACTCCCAAAGGGCAGGTGCTGGCAGACGCACATTTATTTGCCTTATCATCTCACTCATTCCGCCATGAATGAGGGTCACATCGCATTAAATACGATGTCAGCTGTCGTAATCGGCTGCTCCGTGTCACCATACCTCGGTTTACCTCCTCGGCACCCTTTGAATATCCCAACGGCTTCATTATTCCACGTGTCAACCCAAGGGCTGTAGAGCCACCTAGAGTCCCATCAATTGCCCCCCAGCCGCCATCCTTTTCGCAGTGTAAGACAAGTGGCGTAAAGAGATTGGGGGCTCCATCATCACGCCTTATTAATAGCGACGGTTACTTGCACGTCTGGTGCCGCCCTTTTCAAATGCCCTAATGATGACCTAAATTTTCGATTCCCGCTCCCTATGAGGCAGTATAAATAGGAGGTTTTCATACCTTCTCAGAACTTTTACATCCTCAACCTCTCTTCAGCAATCAGACCCCGAGTGCTCCTCTGTTCTCCTCCGAGTTTCCTTCGTCCTCCGAGCTTTCTCTTTGAAGACCACCTTCCTGTAATTACTTCCACTTGAGCTTTTTCTCTCTTCATTTCCTCTACATTTTGTCCTTTTAGCACCCACCAATGGCTAGAACTAGTAGAACCAAGGGGGAGGCGTCTTTTAGGGCTAGGACTACCACAAGACGAGGAGAACTCAAGTGACTGATGAGAATATCCAATCCTTTAGGGTTAGGTACCACATCCATTAGCCTGTCTTTGCTTTCCCCTTCGATCCCACTCACCATAAGAGGAATATGAAAAATGTGGACATGATGCCTTTCTGGACGAAAGCCATCATGGAGGGAGGGTTGACCTTCCCCCTCCATCTCCTGTTGCTGGAAGTGTTGATGCAACTGAAGCTCTTTCTCTTTCAATGTGGGGTTAATTTCTTTACGATTGTGATGGGCGTAGTTGCCTTAAATGCTCGACTGGGGACTAATTTAGGAGTAGATGAAATTTTATTCTGCTACGATCTGAGGCTAGTCGCCGGGGGCGATATTACCTCCAGGCTCGAGATGCCTCAATGTATCTGGTAACCAATTATGCCCGACTCGGATAAGGGGTATGTAGATGATCTGATCATGCTTGATGGAAGTTGGAAGAAAGGGGACGGGCCCGAGTATGACGAATTGTACTGCCCCAAAGTGCCGAGGGATGAAGGTGTGTTTTCTTTCCGACTTCTTGATTTTGCTATTCTTGGGTCTGAGGGACGCACTGATTTTGCTTTGCTTTTGCAGAAGGATATCGCCGGGACACTACTCAACCGTTGAGGTCCCAAGTTTGGTTTGCTGACCTGCTAAGGGTTTGGTCCTCGGACCCAGTTGAGTGAGCGACGCATACTCTCCTCGGCTACACGCCAACTTACAGTCGATTCTCCCAGATCTCACCTCCTTTCAACTCTTTTGTTTGGGAAGACCATTCCTCGTCGGAAGAGGAAGAATTCGAGGGAGATTTTGAAGAAGAGTCTGATCATCACACTCCCGAGCCCCTTGCGCTTGAAATGTTTAATCCGTCACCAATCACCGCTGCTACAATGGAGGCCGCCGTCTCAGCAAGGAGAGCCAAGCTTGCTAGGTTGGCCAAGCCTTTCAACACTGCCCCCATCATCCCCCCGCCTAGTTCTCCTCGGAGGCAACCGTCGCTGTCGCCGCCACGTATGCAACAATCCAGAGACCCGGCCGTGTCGACCAGGCAAAGGTTCCAATCTCAACAAGTCCCCGTTCCAGGAGACCGGTTGAGGGACAGACGTGTCTAGGACGCCGAGCAATCTGAGGAGCATTGTGTGAAGCGACAGCATGATGCTCCGGGCCAATCTATCTCGGGCGAATGGGTTACTCGGGTCGAGACCAAGAGCGACCGCCTTGTTCTGAAAGCCGACTCTATCCTCCAATAGCCCGAAGTGGCATTTACCGTCGTGGGAACGCTTCAATTTGATACCGATATGGCCGTGTACAAAGGTTAGTCGGACAATCAGCTTCTGATGAGCACTATCCAAAATAACCTGGTGGTAAGTTTAACACTTTCCCGAGTATTCCCGACACCCTTTTAGTCGTTCCATAATATTCCTCCTTTTTCAGGCCAGCTAGCAGGTGGGGGCCATAATNGGGCTCCATCATCACGCCTTATTAATAGCGACGGTTACTTGCACGTCTGGTGCCGCCCTTTTCAAATGCCCTAATGATGACCTAAATTTTCGATTCCCGCTCCCTATGAGGCAGTATAAATAGGAGGTTTTCATACCTTCTCAGAACTTTTACATCCTCAACCTCTCTTCAGCAATCAGACCCCGAGTGCTCCTCTGTTCTCCTCCGAGTTTCCTTCGTCCTCCGAGCTCTCTCTTTGAAGACCACATTCATGTAAGAACTGCCACTTGAGCTTTTTCTCTCTTCATTTCCTCTACATTTTGTCCTTTTAGCACCCACCAATGGCTAGAACTAGTAGAACCAAGGGGGAGGCGTCTTTTAGGGCTAGGACTACCACAAGACGAGGAGAACTCAAGTGACTGATGAGAATATCCAATCCTTTAGGGTTAGGTACCACATCCATTAGCCTGTCTTTGCTTTCCCCTTCGATCCCACTCACCATAAGAGGAATATGAAAAATGTGGACATGATGCCTTTCTGGACGAAAGCCATCATGGAGGGAGGGTTGACCTTCCCCCTCCATCTCCTGTTGCTGGAAGTGTTGATGCAACTGAAGCTCTTTCTCTTTCAATGTGGGGTTAATTTCTTTACGATTGTGATGGGCGTAGTTGCCTTAAATGCTCGACTGGGGACTAATTTAGGAGTAGATGAAATTTTATTCTGCTACGATCTGAGGCTAGTCGCCGGGGGCGATATTACCTCCAGGCTCGAGATGCCTCAATGTATCTGGTAACCAATTATGCCCGACTCGGATAAGGGGTATGTAGACGATCTGATCATGCTTGATGGAAGTTGGAAGAAAGGGGACGGGCCCGAGTATGACGAATTTTACTGCCCCAAAGTGCCGAGGGATGAAGGTGTGTTTTCTTTCCGACTTCTTGATTTTGCTATTCTTGGGTCTGAGGGACGCACTGATTTTGCTTTGCTTTTGCAGAAGGATATCGCCGGGACACTACTCAACCGTTGAGGTCCCAAGTTTGGTTTGCTGACCTGCTAAGGGTTTGGTCCTCGGACCCAGTTGAGCGAGCGACGCATACTCTCCTCGGCTACACGCCAACTTACAGTCGATTCTCCCAGATCTCACCTCCTTTCAACTCTTTTGTTTGGGAAGACCATTCCTCGTCGGAAGAGGAAGAATTCGAGGGAGATTTTGAAGAAGAGTCTGATCATCACACTCCCGAGCCCCTTGCGCTTGAAATGTTTAATCCGTCACCAATCACCGCTGCTACAATGGAGGCCGCCGTCTCAGCAAGGAGAGCCAAGCTTGCTAGGTTGGCCAAGCCTTTCAACACTGCCCCCATCATCCCCCCGCCTAGTTCTCCTCGGAGGCAACCGTCGCTGTCGCCGCCACGTATGCAACAATCCAGAGACCCGGCCGTGTCGACCAGGCAAAGGTTCCAATCTCAACAAGTCCCCGTTCCAGGAGACCGGTTGAGGGACAGACGTGTCTAGGACGCCGAGCAATCTGAGGAG